ATCAGAGGATGACATTTGATTGTCGATTTGACGAGCTTAACCAAGCATGATGAAGAAGTGTAAATATTTCAGACGAAATTTCTCTAATGTAATGGCTGCCTTATTTTAAACAATAAGTAAAATTCAGTGGATTTTTTCACAAACCGCTATGAATTGATTTCTTTTCATTTACATTCATAAATAAACCAAATCGACATACAGACCTTGAAATTTAGTCACATTAACCAGTAACACAAAAATAAGGATGGTTAAACTTCTTTTTCTAAGAAGATAAAAAATAATCTTTAATAAACAGATTTCAATGATGTCAAAACAAAAACTAAAGTTATTTCAACTCAACACACTTTGGCTTACAGTAGATCCGTGAGTCAGCCAGCTTGCCAATTTTCGGTTGGCTAAGTGTTTGCATCAGCTGACAGCAGCTAAACCAACACCTTTGGTGGCTTTAGCTGGCTTGGCATAAGACCAACTTGCTAGCCGCAGCTTTGAGCAAAACATAACTTTCGCACTAAGTGCCACTAATATCAGATGGTAAATGATTCTCTCCGACTAAGACTAACCGGTTCCATAACCAAGAATCGTAGCCTTATAATGCAAATTGCTAAATTGGTTGCAAAGAAATTTATTAAGGAAAAGACCAATGCTGAATTTCAACATTTTGGTCCAGATCAAGTAAAACACAACTAAAAGTTAAATGAGATCAAAAATTCTAGAATTACAGGAAACAATATTAATTTCCAAATACTTAACAATGCGTTTGTGACAACTTGCTTTTAACATACATGTCAATGCCTTAAACTAAAATGAACCGAGTTGCAAGACTTGGGTGCGCAGTATGAAAAGTAACTAAAATAGATTCTAAGATATATATACTATTTTAAAAACGTCTTTAGCTGAGTTTATCTGGATTTTCTAATATCTGTTTCTATTCCAGCCTCTGATACCTATTTGCACAGGATGTCTTCTAGCGTAGAGGCAGAAAAAGGCCCTGTGAAATTGGGACATTCTGCATCTCTGCAGGTGCGGGTTTTTTTTATACCTTTTTAGATGTTTCGGATCTTCAAAAACCAGATATATTTGGAAAGATTAATGTTTTTGTAGTTCAGTCATACACCATTTATGTCACGTCTCCGGCTCCTCGCATCGGCTGTTTTAAACTGCGTGCGCAGCCAGGTGTTGAAAATCCTTAACTAACAGGGTGTTTCTTTCTGACTCTACTTCAGCTGACAATTGTCAAAATATCCATCAGAGGCTGAAATAGAGGCAGAAGTTTCGGACTACCAATATCTGCACTGCATTTTAACTTCACCTACCAGTCCAAGCAAAGACTTACAAGTTATGGCAATGTTTGATATTGTCATGAATAAGAAAGATCATGTTCATATTCGGAGCATCAAGTGAACTTCGTTTGGCTTTTATATTTAACCTTTTAGTAGAAACATAAAACGCTTAGTTTTAGAGGAACACAAATGTCCGATTGAAAATTGGAATGGTGAAAATTGATATTAAAAATGTCAAAGATAGACATACATTTAGAAAACCTATACAACCCCTTTAATGACCAAAGAATTGTAAGTCTTAATTTAACAGCACTTAAAACAAGAGGTGGAACCAAAGTTAATTTTCCAATAATTCTTGAATTTGAAATTCTTTTTATCTAAAAAAAATAAGGGTATTTTTAATTACAGGAGGCAATATCTGTATAATGTCATTATAATACACTATAATAAAAGAAAATATGATAAACCTTAGACTTTGATCAATAAAATAATATTCTAATGACAACTCTTATTCTTCATTTCATTATCTTTCCTTTTTATATTGGAAACATTGTAGCCATCTTTTTTACTCCTGGGAACGTTGATGGATGACACGCGATCCGAATTCATGCATATTCATAAGAAATTTGGTAAGATATAGTGACATGTAACAGGAGAGAAATAGATGGACTCTAAAGCCAATAGAGTTGTTGACCCCCGGGGACTCCTTAACATTAGGATAGCACGAAATATTTATTACGATTTTTCTTTCCATTTTTGATGGATGACTGGGAAAAAATTAGTTCTACTGAAATTCTGGCCTGAAGGCGATTCAGACCCATCTGTCTTGCAAGGCGTTTTAACGTGTGTTTTTTCCTAATGACTCGTATTTATTGACGTAATATGAAGAAAAAACGTTTTAAGTCAGGTTTTATACAAAAGACGAAGAATGTCTTCTCTATTTAGTAATGAGCTTTGCCTGTTTCACATCCCAATAGTCTCATTTTTCATCCCCAAAACATTGTCTAATAGTTCCGAAATTATTCGTTCCATTTTGTAAAAGAAGTCATTAATTTTAGACTGTCAAAAGTTTGTCTCCTATTCACTACTTTGCTCCATTTAATTTTACGCATTTCGAGCAAGCCTAATAAAATTCTCGCTAATCTTCAACCAAATTAATACATTTATAGAAATCCTCTTAGAAAACACGAATAGAGAATAAAACATAAAACATACTGCAATTACTTCAGAGAATACAAAACTATAAAACCCCAGTCTCTAGGCAGCCATCTCTAATTCTCTTGATTAGAACAACTACAAAAAATGAGATTTTATAAAATAAAAAAAAATAGAGAAGTTTACAAAAATAATTATTTATATCCTGCTCTGGCATTTCGTCAATTTTGTATAGAGATTCTGTTTATTCCAGTCTTAAAAAGTACAGAAAAAAGTATCCACCGTGAAAAAGGGACGACAGTAACAAATTGTATGTCAAGTTACTTTGTATGTCATGTTCCTTTCTTGATTACCAGTCGCATAGTTCTCAATATATTGTAAATCGGATTTGAAATAAGACAAGTTGACTAAATCTAGTTTGAACCGTCGCATGAAAATCCCCCAATGGGCGATCCGTGGAGGTCCACTATTTATCCTGTAGGTCTTTAAAATGTTTTCTCTTGCCTCTCAAAAACCATATCTAATCTGGTTAAGTTCAAGTTAGGCATGCGCAACAACAACAAAATCTGAAGAGAGATCTGCAGATGTAGTTAGGAATTATGGAAAATAGAAAACGCTATCTTGATTTCAATATTTGATCTGTAGACCAAATTCAGATCACGACCACTTCTGACAAAAGCTGTGATCTCGTATTTACACATGTAACGAGATTTAACGAGACTATGTTTACAAGTAATTATTAGTAGTGTATTGAGTGAAATGATTGTTATTAGCAGACGAGTTGGATTAGCACTTTCCTCAACAAATATTATTAAACAAATAATGGTGAACATCAGATTAGTTTACTCTAACTAAATTTGCTTAACCTGTTATGGAATTAATATGCATAAGTGAAGAAGAAGAAGTTTAGAAAGCAATCACAAGGAAAGATGATTTTTTTTATCTACTATATCAATACAAATATAAAAAATTGATTAAACAGATATTTTTTGACGCTTCAGTTGTTCAAATCTGTACCATAGGGTCTAATGCATCAAGATTCATTTGAGAGTTCCTGGTATCAGAAAATGTAAAAGTTTACAGTTTTAACAATTTGTTTTACTGTGTAGTGTATCAACTGAAAGAAAACAATCACGCCGTCGCTATCACTTTTCTAAAATAAAATCAAACGTTCAGCAAAACGTAGGCGCTTCCAGGGAAGTCTATAATATCGCGTCTTCAAGGTTGTGAAAAATTTAGCTTGATAGTGTTGTATGTTATTAGACTATACCGAATTACTGTTTAGATTAGTCCAATACTGGATGCGTCTCACCCGATGGTGGATTTTCATTTACCCGATGTTATTTATATATCAATCATGGTGGAATAATAGAAATCAGCACTTGTCGATAGTTTAAAATGAAAGGCTATTAATCTCTAACAGAGATACACCATGAAGCATTAATATTATAATGTTATAGAAATAACCTAATATAAACTATAAAGCCATGCTGTTGATAAAATAAAGTTGATCCTTGACACCTTTCACCAAATTGCTTGACTATATTAGCCATTAAACACTCGCTAAATTAGTGCTATTTGAATAAGAAATTGAATTAAATTCCGTCTCAATCTTCCAAGATGGCAGCACATGTCCAATCCCATAGATAAGACAACCGTACGAAAACCAGACACGTGATCTCATCAGAACCAATTCACGCACCATCGGAATAAATCCGTCAATTTTACTTTTTAACTTAATTAGGAAGAAACATGAGGAGATTATTCTACTTAATTATTTCAATAGAAAATATCTCAGTGAATTTTTATCACATTTGTTGTCAATTCAAAGCAAGAAGTAATTCAATTATTGCAAAATATCTCAATACAAGTATAGTTTACCAGTATAAATCCTACCTATTCCTAATCTACCGTTATCTACCAGCATCTAGTTTACCAGTATCAATCCCACCTATTCCCAATCTACAACTACCAGTATTTAGACAACAAGTATTTAGTATATAGACTGTCAGTATCTAGTCTATCAGTATTTAGTCCAGTGCTTCTCATCCTCAGTGCATGAGGTCAAGTTTTAAGGGTCAAGGGTTAAGTAAAAACGTTGAGTACTAATTGCTAATTAAGCAGTTTGACCTAGTTTTGGTGTTTGGGTTTATAATGGTTCGATATTGTTAGTTGAAACCTTTAGAATGCAATTAGGCGTTTATTTTACTTAAATCCGTACAGTAGTTTTTAACAGCTTCCACAAAGCATAACGAAATTTACAAGTTCACTTAAACCTTTTAGATACTTTTGGCTGGATTGTTTTGGTTAAAACAGGGACACTGTTCTCTAGATTTTGGAGTATAGTTTTCACAAATTTGAGCAAAAAAAAAAATGCGACGGAATGTCCCTTTAATTCTCCCAATGGTCTTCCAATTCCTCCCCTGTTGAGAAGCACTGATCTAGTCAACCAGTATCTAGACTAGTAGTATTTTGATTACCAGTATCTAGTTTTTCAGTATCTAAACTACCTATGACTAATCTGCCGGTATCCAGTTTACCAATATCTAGTCTACCGGTATCCATTTAACCAATCTCTTGACTACAAGTATCTAGACTACCAGTATTTAGACTACCGGTATCCAGTTTACCAATATCTAGTCTACAAGTATTTAAACTACCAGTTTCTAGACTACCACCATCTATACTACCAATATCTAGATTGCCAATATCTAGATTACCAGTATCTAGTCTACCAGAATCTAGACTACCAGTATCTAGAATACCGGAATCCAGTTTTTAGTATCTAGATTACTAGTATCAAGATTATCAGTATCTAGACTACATTATTTAGACTACCAGTATCTAGACTACCAATATCTAGAATACCGGAATCCAGTTTACCAGTATCTAGACTACCAGTATCTAAATTACCAGTATCTAGACTACTTAAAGCACTGATTGATAACATCGCGTTTAGATAATTTTATTTCTGTCATTCCTGACAAGCTTCTGAAAAAATTAACCAAAGTTCAAAATACTGCTGCACGCCTCATATCTAGAACCAAACTCCATGACCATATTACATCAGTTTTATATGATTTTCTCCCTGTTAAATACAGAATAGAATTTAAAATATTATTATTATTCTCTGTACAGGTGCCTCTCCTGGAATAAATCTGCCTTTCAATTTAAGATCAATAACTTCTACCTATAGTTTTAAGAACACATCTCTTCACTCTAGCCTTTTAATAAATAATAATAATAATAATAAAAATCTTCCTTTTCTATGATTATTAATGTATTGAGTTGTTTATTTGTATTTTTGTTATTATTATTTGATTCTCATAATCTTCATTATTTTATTTGTTTTATTTTATTGTGTATGTTTTATATGATATTCAGTTTTAGTGTATGTATTAGGGCCTGTATTGTACTGTGTACTTGAACACGTATGTGAAAGGTGGACGATAAAAATGTGTATAATAATAATAATACCAGTATCAAGACTACCGGTATCTATTCTACCAGTAACTACACTAGTCTACAAGTGACTGGTCAATATGAATCTAGTCTACCAGTATCTAAATTGTCGGTATATAGTCTACCAGAATCTAGTTTACCAGTATCTAGACTACCAGTAGCTAGACTACCAGTGTCTAGTCTACCAGTAATAAGTTTACCTGTATCTAGACTACCAGTATCTAGTCTACCTGTATTTATTCTCCCAGTAACTATACTACCAATAATTAGTCTAACAGTATCCAGTTTACTAATATTTAGTCTACCAGTATCTAGTTTACCAATATCTAGACTACCAGTAACTGATCAACCGGTATCTATACTAGTTTAACTAAATCTAGTCTACCTGGTCTATCTAAACTAAAAGTTTCTAGTCAACTACAATCTAGATTACCAGTATCTAGACTGTCAATATCCAGACTACCAGTATCTAGACTGTCAATATCCAGACTACCAGTATCTAGACTGTCAATATCCAGACTACCAGTTTCTAGATTACTATTAGAATATCAGAATATATAGAAAAGCTATACCGTACGTATTAAAATCCCTATATAAGTCGTTTTAAGACAGGTCAGCAAATTTAACTCTTAATTAATTCTTAATGGATCTACCATTGCTAGATGTACGAAGTTAACTTGCCATGATATTGACATATGCCAATCAAAATTAAGTGGGAATTATCAAATAAGTAAATTCATTTATCCGCAATCGTCTTACTGGAAAATATAACAATTTTTTGGACCTTATATCATTCAATAATTGGTTCTTAATTGGTTTGTTTTTACCACTAATTATAAAGTTTTAATTTCTATATTATGTCAGAAAGGGAAATCTGCATTTGGTAGTTTGGTAGTTGATCTGCCAAAAAGTCTTTATTTCAGCCTAGTGTTAATTGGGTACATAAAATTTTCAAAGGGACTAGTTAACGGCCTCAAATTCTATCAAATAACCACAGTGTAGGGTACCCGTTAGTTACTGTTTAGATTCCAAAGACATGTTTTCATGAATTATGCAATATTAAGATGACATCACAAAACAAATCAACATACGTATAGACCAGAGATGTTCAACCCTGCAAGGTTGAGTATCAAAACAGATAAGAAAAGAAATATCAGGGGAGGTGACTTGGAAAGTAAAGGTAAATACTTCTGGGAAATTTAGAGTTAGATGTCTGACAACAGTTTAAGATAATGTCCTCACGGGGCATACAAAATTTACCATTTATTGTAGACATTGTCAGAACTAATTCTTTACAACTGTCAGTAACATGAAATACTTAAAATCCCCAATGAATGGGAGAATCAAAATTTCTATGACTATTGCTTATCCTTCAGAGTAAATACTCAAGCTCGAAACCAGTGGTCGTATAAAACATTTATAACACTGTTCGGTATTTATCAGACAATTTTCTTTATGTATTCAATTGCAACGTATGATAATTGATATTGGGTTCATTGGGGTTACAAAGGTACCTAACTCTATATGATTTTTTAGTAAAACCTAACTGAGTAAGAAATGCACAATTTAACAATTTATTACAGATAGATCAGACGAAGGAACCATTTAAGACTGATCTTAATTAATGATTTGAACAATATTACCAAAAATATTTTACAAAAAAATATGAAAAATGTTCATAGTATAAATCCCATCTTATTCCTCCTGATTATAATATAATATTTCTTATCATTTGTCACTGACAGAAAGTGTTCTACTCATTTCTTATTTTACGTTCGCGGTCAAGGGGAAGCGACTGAAAAAAAAGTCTAGAAAGAAGATCGAGCCCGTCGAGCAAAACAAGACAAGTTAAGGGCAATAACTCAAAACTTAATTGTAAATGGTTAACTCATCTGAGATCTCAGCAAAATACATAAGCATACCAGGTTTAGTTAAAATACGATCAAAAGTACATTCTATTGCGTTCTCGAATCTGTTAACGATGAAGTTGAAATTAAATTGGTCTCATTCCTGAAACTTGTAATAGGTTGTCTCCCTTTAACCGCAAACTGACAGATTCTATAATGTAGTCTTTTAATAACCACGAGCAATCCAAATTAATTATATTGCTTGTCTATTCAAAAATTGAGTAAAATTATCATTACACAGAAGAGTAGGCTAATAATTTTTAACCAAAAAATGTCAAAAATTCTGTCTTTAAGAGATGTCGACCTATGACAGCAGTTTCATGATCTGAGGAAAGGCAACAACTCTGTTTCTAACTAAAACAGGTGTTTGCATAAACATGTTAATTATATTTGTAAAATTTGAAATCAGAAATTATTTCAGATGCATAAGATTAAACTTCTCCTTCCTTTTATTAAATTATTCTATTTCGCTCATTTTCAGTCCCACATTGATTACTGCTGCTCCATTCAGGAAACTTGTAATAATTATTCTTCAGCAGCTCTTAATAGACTTCAAATATTGGCTTTTAGGCCTATAATAAGGCAGTAGGCCTACGATGCTTTAGGAACACGAAAATCGAAGTCAATAGCTTGTATTTTATTTCCGTTTACTGATGGAACTTAGATATTCCCCAATTTGTACGTTGTAGTTTTTAGTTTTTGACATGTTCTATTGACGATTTGATTCAAATATTCCGTGAAATGTCGTTTTTCGTTTCAGAACTTATTAAAAACAAATGTTATAAAATTGTAAGGTAGCATCGACGTATTGATGGACTCCAGTGACGGAGTGGCGAACTCATTGACGGAGTGACGAACTCACTGACGTATGAGGTAGCCCTGACTCAAACTTGGTGTGTTCGTAATCACCCAAGGATGAACACTATTGAAAATTAGAAGAATCCAAAAATATTTAGTATAAGTTATTGCCCTTGTTCTTGTTTTTAGCTCGTAAACACTCTACAAGACACAATTCTTAATGGATTTTGACAAAACTTGGTGAATTTTTTAATATCACCCATGGATGATCCCTTTCGAAAATCGAAAAATGTTTCATAGGAATTATTGACCTCGTTCTTGAACACGCTTTCAAATTTTATCTCTTGAACACTAAAAGGCATGATTCTTGCCGGATTTTAACAAAACTTTGTTTTATTATTTAGGACCGTATTTGCCTTCTAGAGTTTTCAAGAGCTAAAAATTGAACACGTTTTCAAGAACATAACTCATACTCAATATTATTCAGTATCACCCTCAAAAAAAAGTGTATGACTGAAGGTTGAATATTGCATGCTGGTGATTGTTACTGTACTGCCAAATATTTTTATTCAAAATCAAAGCTACCAGTGGGCGTATATTACCTTGCCTGGCAAGCTATCTTAAATAATTTATGGTTGACAGACCATTAGGACTTTGTGAAATCATTAAACTAGTCTTATGTCTTATTGGACAACAATAAAACCCCCCAAAATCCAAATATTTCATTTCTGCAATTTAAGAATGCTTAAAACAGTAATATTAAATCTGGAAGAAGAGGGTTTTAGCTCTTTTCTCAGCTTTTACCTACACCAGCCCCACCACTCAAAAATCTAAAAACTTGGTTTTCAGATGTCTTAATGACACGTAATGTGTCATTTACAAATTTCATTTGCTCCACATTTAGAGATCTCATCAAATGTCTATACTCATTTTATGGCATCTTCATGCAGTGTCTTGTTTGGGTATACCAAAATCTGGACCAATGTCATATCAAAATTTAACAGACTCTTCCTTCTCTTTCAGAACATCTATATTAGCCTGTTCTTCCTGGTCATCCTCTCTCTCAGGCTGTTGACCTGAAGGGACTTCTTTGTCCCAGGCATCATCCGAGTTATCTTTTTCTGCAATCATTGATGCAGCAACAGCTGATCTGTTATTTTCAAACAAAACCTGCTGAGATGCTATTCTATCTCTCATTTCTGCAAACCTTTCACCATAAGAAATATGATTTCTAATTGGGTCTACAAATTCATCTCTCCTCAGGTACTTTATCAATGTTAAAATTTACATATCCTATCACCCCAGGAACAGATCGTTTGAACGATAAAGTCATCATATTTCAAATCTGCGTTTTCCAAAAACTCATCAAAAGTTATGTCTTCTCCTTCAATCATGTCACCCATGACCAGTTTCATTTTACTATAATTTTCCTTACAATTCTGGGCATGTGGAAAACCACATTCAAGTGGTTCTAAAATTTTAGTTTCTTTCATAGAAGGTTTGGGTAAACCAAATCGACAAGTTTTTTGATTCTTTGCTTGTGAGTTTGATTTTTCATATACTCTTTCATCCAAATTTTCATCCTCCATCATTCTAATTGTATGTAATTGTAGAATCAACAAATTTACAAATTTCATCAATGCTTCTTTCACCATAGACAGGAGCTTCCGCACACCACAGCAATGTATGGAAATGTGGTGAACTTCTGTGTTGGAGCTAAACTCTATAAAAAAAATCGGTGACTTTTCTTTCTTTAGAAGTAAAACATCTTTAAAAAGCAGTTTGACCTGGAAGTCAAATTGTCTAGTAAATGTAAGAGGGCCAGAGTTTAACTTCAGAGAAAAGATAAATAGCGCAAAGAAACTATAATTGGGCATGTGGAAATGGCGTCCATTAACAATAATTGGCAGAATATGTGTCATTAAATCTCTTGTTTTACCCAAGTTCATACAGTTACTATTATCCTTACCAAACCCAAATAATCGCGTATTTAATGAAATAGAAAGTATGTTTTTCAAATTCATCTGGAATAACAAGCCAGACAAGATAAAAAGAGAAATTATGAAACAAGATTATCTAAATGGGGGTTTAAGAGTGCCAGATATTAAAATTTTCAATAATGCATTAAAAATCACTTGGATTAAACGTATTTACACAGGAAATGAACGTTATGCTTATTTCACAAACAAACATAAAAATTTCAATGTATTTTTTATTCTCATGCGGTTCCACAAACTTGGAAAGTTTAAAATCAAAAAATCCTTTTTGGAAAGATGTTTTTAGTGCTTGGAAAGTTTATGCAATATTATGAATGATTCTGGTAAAAACATAGCCTACCCTATCTGGTTCTCTTGTAGTGATAAAATTTTTTTTATTAAAGAATGGTTTGATAGAGGGATACGTACAAATTTAGATCTTTTTAATGAGAGTGGTGAAATGTATTCATTTAACGATATAAAACGTATATTTAGATTGGTTAATGGAAATTTCCTTGACTATGAAAGAATTATTCGAACAGTCAAAAAAGTACATAAATACCTACAAAAATGTATGGCCCACATCTCTCAATATATCATAAAGTTCTTTTTAAACAAACTGGCAGTAGACATATATATGATCTTTTAATAGGAAATAATTCAGTAGAAGTCAATTAAAATGGGAAAATAGATTTAATCAAGAAATGGATTGGAAAACAATAAATATGATAGCAAGGACGAATTCTTCAAATACTAAAATAATAGAACTTCAATTTAAAATCCAAAATAATATATTAAACAGTAACGTCTTTCTTTTTAAGATAGGATATGTGCAAAGTCCACTTTGCA